GTGAAGTACTGTTGACCCTTCGCGCATTGTTCGACGAGCTGCCCAATGAACAACAATAGTGCACTGCACCCCTTGAACAGCACATGTGCCGAAAGAGACAGCTTGCAAACTCCCAAAAGCAAGAAGAGGGAAGAAAGACAGAGAGGTTTTTCGTATGGACATCCGACCCTGGCAAGCCGTAATTTCAGTGGCGAATGGCAGCCAACGTTTCTGGCTGTGTTCCAATTTTTAGACAGCACGTAGACAGTCTATGCAGACTGCTTAGAAGACCGCACCGAGCCCATACTGTCGAGAATGGGAACACGTTTAAATTTAGACAGCTTTTATGCGACAAGGCGCCACCTTGCGTTGAGAAGAGAAGTCTTAAATGAACGAACATAATAGTTGTGTTTTCTGGTTTATTTCGTGTTGAAATCTAAAAAAAATTTAACGTTACATTGAACGTCTGGAGAAGCATCTGCTTGTGTGCAGACGACCATTTCAGCGAGATTCAATCTATTTGAGCGATTTGCTGAGCCGCCATCTTGTTTAGGCAGCAAAGTAGCCTGCATCGTATTTGTCTACGATGTGGTCTTCTCGGAGCTGTCTACTTTGCTGGCTACGTGAGAATAGGAATGGGACGTAAAATGGCTGCCGTCCATTTAGCTGTCTATTTAGCCGTCTACGGTGAGTATTGGAACACAGCCTCTGTCGTGCTTTGTAGTTCCAGTGATCTTTTTTGTTGTGGCCCCGTCTGTTCAGGGTTCGATGAAAAAGCACAGAAAAGAAAAATGAAACAGATTAGTAATCTCAGTTTTGATCCTATACCACGATTTTTTCTAACGTTACATTTATCCAATGATATGGCGGCAATCTTCCGGCGTCATTTCTGCCCCCGAAGCTCTGGTGAGCACCACTACGTGAGGATATGGTTGGCAGTGATGTAGTGACTTTATCCTATGATTAAAATACTGAGTCATTTGATATCAGTGCTTAGACTTCTGCTGAAATTATCTCCATCTGTTTGTCTACGCAAATCATAAATAAAAAATAGGTGCTTCAATAGTGGAGGGCCCCTTTAAAGGGGTACTGACACAAAAACTGCGGCCTCATTTTTTTTTGTTTCCTGCAATGTGCTTTGGGGGGCCTGTTAGTCATAACACCGCACTTCATTTGCTACAGCATGTGACAGATAATTATTTAGAGTCCCCTCATTACTGACTAGTTTCAGTTTCGGTTTGAGAGCTCCAAAAATGATAAGCCGCCAGGTGTAACCATTGCCGCCTAGCGTTTGCAGCTCTTGACCACGTCAGCACACAGAAGCGTGGCACACTTCTGCACGGTCTGCATCAAGAAGCGTTTTCGAATAAGAAATGGGACTGCAGTGTCGCCAAACACAAATTTTCAATGCGTACACCAAGGCCACGCACTCGCGACCAGTCTCCGAGAAGTATACTGCTGGAAAAAATGTGGCAAAAGGAAAATGGCAGCCATGATGTTATTACAACTTGTTTTATTGACTGCAATGTGGTGATGTCAGTGAAGTAAGGGGGCATCCAATCAAAACACAATCAAAAGGGCCCCATGGGGTCCTTTTTGATTGTGTCAACAGCTTCATAATCCAGACTTCGAAATTGCTGTAAAATACCTTCCAAACTATATTTGCTGCTGATACTTTTGAAATAATATACGTATGTTCATGGGAATCGATCCTGCAGGCTATCTCAGCCACGAAATTTTGTGTCAGTAACCCTTCTAGGTACCTATTTTGGTCAGCTGTTAGCCATGTGCAGGGCTGTAAAAGATGTTGGGAATATTTGAGAGATCTTGGAGTCACAAATAGCCACTGTTCTTGGTACAGTTAGTGGTGGGGATGTGCAGCACTGTTGCAGCTTGCTCTCCCATTTCGAACATCGAAATCTAATACTGGTGTCAATATAATTCTGTGGACAGGCTTCAGTTTGAAACATTTTGTCTGTATACTGTTAGGCAAATGTTGCTTTATCCACAATGACATTCTATCTGTATTAATATTTTCTTAGTGTAGCAGCACCTCAGTACATCTTTAATATAGATGAGCATAGTACATGCAAATTCATTGGATCACTAGGTATTATGGTAAAAAAAAACCACAATATTATTGTGTGTTGAGTGAGCTGTAAGACAAACACTGTTCCTTTCTCCCCTCCTTTTCATTAGTATATTTGTTTTTGAAGTAGGTGTATGCTTGAGTGGGGGGATGATTGTGGCCAATCAAGATAATTGCCATATTCTGTGATGGAAACTGGTCATGTCTTTTTTAAATAGTTTTTTTTCTTAATCCTTTAATGCCTGAATTAGGAAACTGCCAAAAAAAGAAAAATCATTTCCATTTTTTAGCTTTAAATAGCCACCTTTGAATAATTCCACTTTTAATTATCAAAAATGCACCTTTAATGCATACTTTTATGTATGTCAGCAATTCTCCACATACCAGAAAAACGAGGACCTTGCAATAAAAAACGTGCTTCAAAATCGCCCAACATGTCGTGTGTGATGTCTTGAGCGCGTAGACAGTAAACAAACACAATCATTGAAGATAAAACTTGCATCAGCCAGACGAGAATAAACGTGGAAGTACGCTCTTCGTGCTCTTTGCCATCAGCTACAAAACAATTGGTTCTAGTGTAAAATGCATTGTACAAGATAGCACTAGATTTTTTATGCTGAAAGCTACGTTCCTCGTGAGTACTTGACAGCCGGCATTAAAGGCGGCACGCATTCCATGCATGACTTGCTTGCTCAAAATTTTTAGGTATGTCACGGATTTGAAACAACAGGCAGTAAAGGGTTAATCGCCTTTTACTATTGCCATTTTTTGCCAGACACACAGAATGTGTACAGGTCCTCGTAGGCCTTATAAACCCTTGAAGTTGAAAATTGTGTTTTCAAAACCATTGGAAGTCAAGGAAAAATTTTTTTTGAAAACCTCTGAATTTCATGAAAGAGGTTTCATGGTTATCTTACCCACTCCCTCTATATGGTAGGTCAGCATAAAATTGGCAGACTCTCAATTTTCGAAATAATATTGTCGCGACGTGAAGACAGAGGTCGTATTAGAAGACGCTGAGAAAACAGCAGCGGGTTGGTCTTTTTATTAACCGCGCGCGCCAGAGAGTTCCTCGTCTTTCTCGTTGTTGCGTTCTGCATAAAAGCGTGCAGATGCGCGTATCCGCTGTCGCCTTCGTCTTTTTCGCGGGACACACGTGACATTTGCCTCTTTCTAAAAATGGCATCGTCCCGATGTGCAGCCAAAGCGCTCTACTAAAAAAAACGCACGTATGCACCGACACCCACAGGACAAACGAGAGTTAGCTGGACAAGTAGGGTTTCATCCGGATGACATGCACAATCTCGGGTGAGCGGTTTCGGCGACTGGAACTGCAATCGCCGTCGGGAATAACTTCGTAGTTGATATCATTCAATCGTCAGGTGACTCGATATGGGCCGAAGTATCGTCGTAATAGCTTCTCTGAAAGTCCGCGTTGACGTATTGGGATCCAGACCCATACCTTGTCGCCTGTTTTGTAGGTTACCAATTGATGTCGTAGGTCGTATCGTTTCGCATCTTTGTGTTACTGGTGACAAATACGCACAGGGGCTAGCTGTCGGGCTTCTTCGGCACGCTGACCAAATTCTTCGGCGTCAGCGTGAGTGTCGTCACACTCGTGCGGCAGCATAGCGTTCAACGTTGTAGTGACTTCACGCCCGTGTATTGAACTAAACGGCGTCATTCCGGTAGTTTCCTGCCAGGCAGTATTATAGGCAAAGGTCACAATATGTTTAAACTTGAAAGTATCGCACCTGGAAAAGGTTGCAGATTAATTGCATATATTGATAAATCAAGTATTATGGACATAAAACACAAGAACATTCATGTTTAACTGCTTGGCTGTTCTTATCACTCTGTGTGCTTTACCGTGCTACAGTGAAGCACAATAATGCAAAGCCATCATTATGAAATGCGAACAGTTTCTTGCTTTATATTTGGAAACTTGCATCTTACTCCTTCAATGCCTCATTTATATTGCATTTTGTCAGTAGAAATGCAGCTGGTGATGTAATTACAGCACTGCTTGAAGTAGTTCACTTGCGGAGGTACAGCACCAATATTGAAAGTGAAGGTCAGCTTTCTCGATACACACAGGTGGTGCAGTGGTATGCGGTTGCATGGGATTTTCAGGGGGTATTGCTGTTGTTTATTGATACAGTAAATCTATATATCCATGTTTTATATATCTGGGGTGAACTGCATAATAATTTAAAGCTTCAACAAGTGCTTGTGCAGGACTGCAAAAACCCACAGTGGGAGAGGAGATACCAGTATTTGGTGCTTGTTTCTTTTCTCTGTTTCACACATCGTTTGTTTGGCCTCATCCTTTTGTTTATTTTACTTCCTGCACATCAATTTGCCTATGCCTTCCGCATTTTATCTCTTGGATTATCCTATGAGAACTTCATGCCAAAAGTGTACATTTATTTTGGTTTCATCTCTCGTTCTGTCAAGCAAGTAATAAATGAAGGTTGATTCGACTCACGCCACTGTTCATTTATAGAGAAACTCATGAACATCGCCAAATACTGCTTAAGGAAGTCCCAGCAAGGCAACATAATATTGAACTATCGAAAGTGTTATGGAAATGTTGCTGTAGTAAAGGAGCATGGGAAGCTACTTTGCACGCTTAAAAAATTCTTTACAGTCTTGAAATTTCTTGAATGCCCTTTAATTTGGGGCTCTTAAACCTGTATGAACATTGCATACAACAAGCACCTGTTCTTGTGTACAGTGTACAGTATTTTGTTGAAATGTGTGTCTTGCATCAATTGAAGATATTAAGTGCTGATATGTTTACTTTTGAGTCCTGAGAAGCATTTTTTTAGCAGTGTCATTGGAGTTTTATACTTGTTGCCTGGGAAAGGACGTCTGTTTCTAATTGACAAAAATTGATTATTTTTCTCTTATTGCATCTATATGATTACAGCACATAATTTCGCTACGACGGGACAATTTGCACCTCCGATTAAGACTGTACTTTCTGGCTAGACAAGGCCACTCTAAACCCATCGAAGACGACCCTGATGTTAATCTACAGTACACCGATATGGTAAGTTTTTTTGTGCTTGATCAATACTGCCTTGAACAGTTTTTCAGCACACTTCATGGAAATGGCCTTTGGGAATTCATCTTTTTGCACACAGTGTCATATGATCCTTTTGTAAACTGGTTGATACAGTGAAAAAAAAAAAAGAAAAAAAATCAAGACCCTACAAACTGAGTGATGTTAAACTTGTGAGGTAAAGCAGAAGTAACTAAGTGTATCTGACAAAGAAGTACATTGTGTGATGTGTGGCCATAAACTGGCAAATCAGTTCTGCAGAAGCCCTAAAAGTGGAAGAACGCTTATAAAAAGGCAAAATTATCATTCACCTAGTGGGAGCATAAAGCTAGTAAGAAAACTCATGTGATTTGCTTAAATAGAAAGCTTCAGAGGTAAATAAAAATTTATGCTGGTGTGGAATTTGTACCTGAGACCAATTGTACTCTGGCATAGTTGCTTTACCATATGAGCTAAATCTGCTCCCACTTGGATGTGGGTCATCCAAGAAAATTTGTCTTGATCCTAGTCACGTATGGTTTGTAGCTTTGTGGTAGAAGTGAGTGTATAAGAATTTTTCTCATTCATAAACTGTCCTCCATCTTTCTGGCTTCCACACAGAACTGCCGTGCGTTATTTGGTGCCCCTCTGCTTTCCTCACTATGCATCATTCAAACTACATAGCAATCTACATAGTGTGCTGATAGTGCCTTTCTCTACTTGCTAAAACAAGGTACATCTCAATGAACTGCTTTAGCACTATATCATGTTCAGAAATTTTATAAGTGTACATTCTTGTGTGCATATATAAATTTCATTAAACATGGTTACACTTCTCCATATTAGAGACAAATATTAAGGATCAGAATTGTGGGACTGGGGAATGCTCCACAAGACTCATTTGCTGCTCCAGTGCAGAGTTTTATGTGCTCTGAAAACGGCACCAAAATGGCTACAATCAATCCACATCACTGCCTATGACAAAAGAGTGGGGGCCATAGTTTTCATGCCATTTCAAGTGTCCTCATATTATGCGATGCCCCCCTCCACTCTTTTTATTTATACTCCTAAAATGTTTATTTAGATTGCGGGGTTTTGCATGCACAAATCACGATATGACTATTGGGAGTGACAGGAGGGATTCTGGGTTAATCTTGACCAGCTGGTGTTCTTCAGCATGTATCTAAATTAATGTACAAAGGAGTTTCTGCATTTTGGCACCATTGGAATACATTTTCATGGCAAGGAATCAAACCCTTGTCCTTGTGCTTAGCAGTGTAGCAGTCATAGCAGCTAAGCTACTATGGTGAGTTCTGTTGCTAATGATTGATTGATATGTGGGGTTTAACGTCTCAAAACCAATTTTGTTGCTAATGAGGTAATGTTCACTTCCGTTAATGAATTTCACCATGCTGATTCTTCTCTTCCTGCATTGGACAGACAATCTTTCCTGCAATAAATGTGCTCTAATTTGCATGGCCTTCACTTGATGATGTATTGTGCTATTACAGAGAAGCATTCTGACTGCACACAGGCAAATATCACCGTAACATCAGATCATCCTACAAACCACGAAGGGAAAGGCCACATGGTGGCACATATTACACTGTGATAAAGTGGGGACTCCTAGTGGATGTAGGGTGCTTAAGGGCACCTTATCCTTCCAGTTACCGTAAAATTCCAAGCAAGCATCCTTCCCCCCCCCCCCCCCTGTCTCGCTCTTTTTTTCTCCCTTGGTGAAAAATAATTGGACAAGATTAAATAAGCAGCATTAAATAAGCAGCAGGCGACAGCGTGGCGCCTATTACAAACAAACACGTTCCCAAACCCAATCGCTTATAATCATTGTTACCCGGACCTCTACTCAGACAGATGTAAACACTGCAATCAGCGGGCGGACCTCAAACACATTATCTGGGCTTGCCCCAACATCGTGAAGGGGCCAAACACATACATGAATACGGAGCAGTGGGAGACCGCGTTGCTAAACTCAAGCATCGAGGACCAACTACAGGTCATCAGGCAAGCCGAAGATGCCGCTAGGGCCCAAGGACTCCTAGCTGCCATCTAAGGGAGGGGAGTCAACTCCTCTAACACTTGCCGTTTCAATAAAGTTGTTTCTCTCTCTCTCTGGACAAGATTTAGAGGGGGGGGCCCATACTCGGTCACGGATTGACATTCAAGATGGCACCAGAAGTCTCAGAAGAGCGCACACCTGTGCTTTAATGGAATGCTTTATTCAACACACATGTATTCACTGTTGTTACAAAATCGAAGGGAGTCTTCATGTGAAACATCATGCATTATGGCCAGGGGCAAAAGACCTTCAAATGTTTCGACTATTAGTGACAATTGGGAATGCAACCCTTTGACACCCTATTGTGAGTGTTCTAAAAAATAATGCACACATTAAAGCCTCCCGAAACTTGGGTTCCTAGGGACCACTGCAGCAGGATTCTGTGGTGAACAGGTAAAAAAAAAATAGCAGGAAGGGAGGAGGGGTGCATGCTTGATCGTTGGTGCATAGATCAAATCTTTCTCAGGTAGGGGTGCTTGCTTGGTATTTTACGGTAGTCTGCTCTTGCTGCTGTGGTAGTGCTTTTGTTATGGCGCTCAGCTGCTGACCTGAAAGCCTTGGGTTTTTCAATCAATCAATCAATGTTTCTTTATTAGCATCAGAAATGTACATTGTGAGTAAGTATGGGTTCGATCCCAGTTACATCCGTTTCATTTTCATGGAGACAAAATGTTAGACATCCGCGTACTGTGTTATTTCAGCACACCTAAATAGGCTTGTGTGAATAGTGAATCTAGGTGCGAAGCGAACTTGCAGTGAATAGTGATTTTCGTCGAATAGTTTTAAATGAAATTCGATTCAAAATTGCCCTTTTTTATATATGCGACATATAAGAACACATGGGCATATTGGTCATGACCTAACTAACCTGACCAATAGTTTTTTAAAGAATTGAAAGAAGGCCTGTGAAAATGTCATTTTATCAACTCAGAGGAAGTGGAAACAACTTTGAATAACTGTAGGATTCGACTTTTGGTAGAATGCAAGGGATAATCTGTAAAATATGTTTTGTTTACAAGTTTACTGAAGCTTAGAGCATATATGACAAGCTCTTAAACTTAAAAAACGATGAATCGATGTGAGGGCATTATGTTCATTTAACCTTGAAGTGGGGCTTCGCGAAAGTGTGGATTTCTTTTTGATAGGTGTTTTCATGGCTCAGCACTTCCTCTTCATTGCAGTGAAACCATCTTTACAAAGGGTTACATGCGAATTAACACTTGGATAAGTGTTTTTACAGCTTAGCACCTCTTCTCTGCAGTGAAACCACTTTTGCAAGGAGTTACATGTGGAATAAAATGCATCTATACTTTGAAGTTTTCAATAATTTAGATATGAATCAAAGAAATTCGAAAACTGTAATATTCGTTTCAATATTCAAAGCATTTGAATAGTTGTAATTCCTAAACTTAAAGAATCTCAGATGATAAAATAATGCAGGACTCCCCACTATGGCGTGTTTCATTATCATGTGCTTTTGGCACACAAAGCACCAGCAATTATTCATCAAACCTACAAAAAATATCCAAAATTACCTACGAAAACCTGCAAGCAAAAATTCAGTCGCATCAGTAGACAGGTCCACGATATTCTAAGTTAGAAAATTAGCCTGAATTATTTTGTCATACTGTGCTTAATGAAACAACAAATTAAAATTGGCATCACTTTTTGTGATAACCTGGTACAGATCTCTTCAAAATTGGTGTTGTTTGTATTAATATTATGAAAATCTCAACTGTCCACATTAGTAATTACGGTTGATAGCAAGTAATAAATGCCTTACAGTTTTAGTACTTTTTTCTTCAAACCTTTTTCTTCATTTTGCTTCAGCGCAAGATGATTGATGCGGAAATACAGAAAATATTGGATACACTTAAAGAAAGAGATACTCATTTTGGCACATGCAGGTAAGTCAGAGGAACTTTTCCGTTTCATTAATCTTTTTTTTTGTACAACTTTGGCTGAATAAAGCATGCTAGTTTTGTTTAAGCGTGGGAATTTTTCAACTCCTTGTGTATTATTAGGAAAACTGGTGTTTTTAAAAGGTGCACATTTTTTAATTTATTTATTTTTATTGTTGAGGAGTTTACTGCATCTAATACTTCGTCACACATGCACAAAAAGAAAATTGAATGAACTTTTCATGCATGCAAGCTTTACTAACTTAATGTGTGCTATACGAGCACAATAAATTGCCAAATTCAAGGTAGCTGGACACTGAGTTTGTAACTGCATGCTTCTATCTACTAAGAAAACAATTTGTAAGACAAATTGTGAAATATACAAATGTACTGCAGTGTAATGGTAATGAGCCCAATCTCTAGAAAATTTAATTTTTTCTCATCGGAATAGAACCAACAAATATTTTACTGTAGGCACTATTGTTGAGGATTTCATGCAGCAAAGCAGTTCCTTCATGCAAAGCATAACAGAGTGACGCAACCTTTGTTTTCTGCTTAGTTTTCTAGTCACACCTGCATTTCTTATATTTTTCACCTGGCAGCCTGGTGCTAAATGTGAATTGAAATGGCCTGAAGCAGAACGATGCTTACCGGTGTTCTGACCTGGTTTGCATGGTTGTTGCTCTCAAAGTCCAACTGAAAAGCAGCTTCTCCAGACTCGCTACAGCTCAATAAATCGATAAAGTCAGCTACAAACACTGGAAAACCAATATTTGCAATCTTTTAAAGCATATCGGTGGCCATCTTTGCCATTCACTTAGACTTTGGACTTTGCTCAAAAATCAAGGCCACATGGTATAAAAACAAAATATGAAAAAAAGAAAACGATAGTTCTTCTCTTTCAAAATGGATAGTGCGTTGTGTCTGTGAACAGCATCGAATATCTCAAAAGTGGCAATTTAAACTATCCATAGCTAGCTATTGATGCCCTGTAGGTGCGATGCGAAAAGAATTAGAGGCACCCTGCAACACTTTTTGCAGTGCTTGGCGCTTTACAAGTCACATGCTGAACAAAGTTTTATAATTTGTCTAGTACGAGCAGAGTTACAGGGAAACATTATGGTGCAGCATGGGGCCTAGAATTTACAGTCAATTCTCAGTCAGCTTGAAATCGCCGCTTGTTTTCTCTACAAATGATGCCATACACCTAAATTTCTGCACCATATATTCATGTTCATGGCACTTGGCTGATTTCAGCATCATGAGCTGTGTAATTAACGGGGCCACTGTAGGATGTTGCCACATGGCCGTACTTAGGCTCATGATCACACCGACAAAAATCAAGTGTTCATAGAAAAAGTATAAAAAAAAAGGCATGCATGGTGTGTGCTGATGATAAGTCACACCTTGGCCACATGTCGTCCCCCACCCTAGATAAATTCTCAGCGTGCTTGCTAACATGAAATGAGAGAAAAAGAGCTTGAAGTGTGCAACAAGTATCTGTAACTGTGCTCGTAACTGACGGATTTCAAAGATTTTTGTGGCACATCATTTGCGAAGTGTCAAGGACTAATAGTGACATTATTTTATTGTAAATTGAGTATTGCAGTGCATTTCAAGAGAAAACCCTGCTCCTCAATTTTTTTCCAATTCTTGATAAAATGTGATGAAACTTGTGGAGAATATGTATATTTGATATATATTTGTGTGCAGATTTCAAATATGCAATTAATTTTCTAGTGTAGTGTATAGTTTGCAAAATATCAATTATTTTGTGTGCATTTTGGGAGCAACATTTTTAACTGACAGGGCTTCAAAGTAAGCCAGCATATCGCAATAATCTGTAATCATGACTGTATACCAGGAAACAAGAATGGATTTTCTAGACTTATTTGAACAGCAGTTTCATTATGTCACTCTCAGACTTCACTCAGAACAGGGTTTGGTAACATGAAATGACCATATTTTTCTGCACATGCCTGTTCTATTGCATTTCATTCATCAGTGTCATATTGTGATGGAAGCTATTCCGTTCCAAACTAGTTGTTGTTCGTGTTGTATTAATTCAAAATTCAATCTTCATGTATTACTGGAGGAAAACATAGAATACCGATTTTCTTGTACAAGCTGTAGTGCGAAAATATGTGAGAAAGTGCTGAACTTCCAACAGCTGTTATTTGGAATTATTGCATGCACACACCGAGATAGTCTATATCAAGTGTACCAGGTCAATTTTCGACCATCTCCGATCATGCTGAAAAAAAAAATTGTTCAAGCATATGTCAATATGAGAGGTAGTTATTGCGGTTACGTGGTGCAAAAAAAAATGTGTTGCTTAGAGGGCGCTTCAAACTTTGGGCAACCAAGTGAAACTGTGTTGCGTTATTAGTGAGAACAGACAATAAGCCAGGAAAGTAAAGGGAATGTTATTAGAAGTATTTGCAATGTAAATTAGAAAAAAGAAAAGTGTACGAAAATGTTACTTGCACCGGCAGGATCTGAACCTGCGCTAAATAATTTCGGGGATAAATAATTTATATGTTACTGGTTTGGAAGAATTACTATAGAAAAGTTTTTTTCTTGATTTTAAAACGCTAATCTTTCATGACTTATGGTTTATATATTTTTGTTTTAACTTCCTTTATTTTTTGCCTTAGTCAGAAATTGCAATGTGCTGCATGTTTAGCTTTCTTTTTTTATGAGAAGCATGTGCTTTTTCGTGAGTGATATATTCGCATTATGTGTTTCAAAACTGCAGCTTTCTACAGTTTTGCAAGCAAATCTGCAACTTTCTCACTTGAATTTGTTGCCCAGCTTATTGCTTGAAAAGTTTGTTAATAAAAAATATTTTGTTATGTAAATATAAAGAAAACAAGAATTAGGGTGACTTATTCTGTGAAAAAGTCAACATGAAGTCAGTTACATCTTCAAGAGTTATGTCACCATGTATTTAAACTCTGGCTAAAAATAGCTGGGGTGCCTGTATATGTAACGAAATAAGCAGAAGAAGGGCTTGTTTTTTCTGTTAGGCACAGCATTTAATGGGAACCAACAGACAACCAAGCCACCTTGCTTCATGCAGAGACTGGTCCTGCAACCTTTAAATAATATGTTTGGTGCTCTGTCAATTGAGCTACCATGGCAGTTGTCCTCTAGTACACTTTATTTTTTATATCTGTTCATGTAAACCTGGGAGCATATTATAGATATATAAAACATGGACTCCAGTGGATATTTTAGGAGCGAGCTTTAGGGCTGTATCAAATATTAAGAATTCCGTGCTTTAAAACTTCCTGTTTGCCACACACATCCACATTTTATTTCTGGTCCTGAGTTCAGGGTATCTGTTATGTTCAAAAAAAAAGAAAGCAAAGCTCATGTATTTGCGCTGGCACGGGTATTGACAGTCTTGGAAACCATAACAGTACCTGTTGACCTAATAAAACATATTGCAGGGCTAATTAGAGATACATCCTTAATTAAAATATAAAAGAACATGACAGCACCCGTTCTGTCGTGCGCTCTTCTCTGTTCTGTTCGCATCAAATGTAGCGCTACACTATTTTAATTAAACACCCTAGAGACTTCTTGTTACATGACCAGGAAGTGCAAGACATGGCTATTTGGCATTGCGCACACCCAATTGCTGTTTATTGGTTTCTCAGTGGCTTCTTTCAAAGGGTTCAGGTGGTGCGATAGGTGGTGAAGTAGAATGGTGGGCAGCATTCCCACCTCTGCCCACCTTGGGGGAGAACCCTGGCTGTATAGTACAGTCGTTAACACGCGCACGCATGTACACGCTCACACGTTACAGTGACTCCATTTTGACAATCTGGTAGCAAGGATTTTCTCTAAACCACCCACCTATTTTACTTAACTAGCATACTGTGTCAAATTGTTAGAACACCTCCTTTCGTATAATTACTTTCTTGACTCTTAACTTTTTTCAACTTGCGTGACACTCAGCTAGCAACCTTTTTGTATAAGCTATGTATTATTCTGGATGATGGTTTCTTAGCCGACTGCATCTTCTTAACTTCACTGAAGCATCATACAAAATTTGTCATTGACTACTTTTTTTACAAATTTATTTGGCTAACATTGATCCTAACTAACCTTTCGTGACCTATCGTCCTCATTGTAGACACGACTCTGTTTGGCCATTTCTGGACACAGTTGGCAAGGAAAAGCCCAAGTTGAGAGCGTGATGAAAACAGTGTGACTCACTGTTCACATTTCTTTTCATACTCCCTGTATATCGCAGTTAAGCAGCTCCTGTAGAGGCTAGCAGTGGCACTGTTCTAAGTATCCATTGTAAAGTACCAAAGCAACTGTCAGAGATAAAATATTTCGCAGTACATGCCAATTTTTCTGACTGCCTCAACATCACAGACCATCAACAGTACAGTTAAAGCTTGCTAATTCTAATGTCACGAGACCAGAAAAATTGTCCTAATGAACTGAATGCTGAATTATTAAAAGTATTATAAAAACAACAAAGAAACAGTTGTTACATCGGTGCACTTTCATTTTCTTGACTAGTAAATAAATGCAGCTCTTATTTTACATAACAGCATTGTAAGATGCAGTTTTCATTTTTTATGAATTTACAATGTGACTACAGTTCAAGACCTCCGTGTCTTAAGGTGAAACATGCTCTTAACCCATGCCTTATTATGTACCAGCAATGTGATTGTGGATGGCAGCCACACTTTTCAGTAAGACCGCCGCCATGTTGGCTGCCCGCGAATGTTGTGTTCGTTTCTTTGCGAGACATATTTGCGGTGCTTCACACTTGGTGTGGTTCGAAGATGGTCTGAATTAATTGGGTTGTGGGCGTATATATTTGAAGCCTTTAAAAAGCACACATGCTGGCCGGATCACGTCAGAATTATCCAAATTCGCAAATAAGTGAGTGTCTGATTGACAAGGTTCTACTGTATTTATAAATGATAAAAGTTTGGTTGGGATATAAGGGAAGGTTGTATTGTTTTGGAGGCTTTGAGAGTATTTCATGGTACACCTTACAAACATTATGAGGGATAACTAATATTAATTACAAAAATAATTACCTCCTAATGGTTTTTTTAATCTTGTATGACTCAGTTGACACGTTTGGTTGACAAAACCAACTTCCAGGTTCCATGACCAGCATATAGTATTACAAATGACTGATGCTTGGAATATGATATTTGTAAGTAGAATCAGTTTAAGAACATCTAACCAGCACTAAAGACATTCTAACCAAAAAGGCATCTGAGCATAACCTTGTGCAATTACTTTCACGATGCTGTTGCCTTGTAGTATATGAACAGTAATCAATACTGAGTTAATTTATTGCTGCAGTGTGATCATTCAGAATATATTTTCATGTCTAATATTGCAAACAGAAAAGAGTGTCATTCAGTGTCTGATAGCAGGCATAGTGAATGTTGCCCTGCCTGTTCTAGATGCGTGCGGGAGGCAGTGGAATAATAATGCATGGGATCTCTGCGGTTTGTTGCTTTTGCATTATTAGACATCAGAACAGTACTTTGAGTGGTACTTGCCGAATGTTTATGAATGTTTGGCATAGATGGTCTTGAAGCAGTCTTTCAATAGCAGCCTTTGCTTTGTAGGGCGAAAATCGAGGAACTGGAGCGGCTCCTGGAGAATGCTTATCAGGAGAAATCCGAAATTAAAAGAGAGCTTTCTGAATGGAAACAGGTGGGTATATATCATGCTTATGAAACCTATTCTCTTGTGACAGTACTGACCATCATCCCTTTCAAGGTCTATATAGGCTAATGACTTCCCTAATTGCACCGTACTCATTGCTTAATTCATAAAGTTGATAAGCATTTGCAAAATGTGAAAAGACTCTTGTCAGTTGATATGTCATTTGTGTTAACCTGTAGCGTAGCACAATGAAACTTTTACTGGTTATATAGGCTTTCATGCTGATTTTAAATATGTAATTGTTTCTGCAGTACATTGCACAGTTTTCATTTTATGCCATGACAAATGTGTAAAGTGTAGTTCCTTTTGTACAAACTTTTTCTGCCAATTTACTCGCATAATTTGCGCACTTTTTTTTTTGCGATTCTGGGGCTTTGAGAAGGAGGTGCGCAAATTATGTGGGGATTTTGCGAACGCATATGAAATAATATGCAATAGTCCTAACGCAGGAAGTGTATACATTAAAGAAAATAAAATAAACTGCAGCACGAACGAAGTGTACTTGCTTGTTTAACTGCATTAGAGGGCACTTTAACCTGTCGGATCTGGTCACATACGGTCTAGTCGGATTCGCTGAGTTGAGAATCATCGGCACGGTCACTGTCACCGCCCTTGCAAGCGCATTGACCTCGGTTCTGTTCAGCGCGTTCGAATGCCCTATTTTCTTGAAGCTCTTCTCGACAATGCCGGGAGAAACTAGGACCCACAACATGGCGATACCAGAGAACTTAAGTGTTTGCTCATATTGAATAGACCTTCTCCAACGGCAGGAAACTTGTATCAGCAAGCATGCACTCTTTCTTCCGTACCGATTGCGTCGATCGTCACAGGTTGAAGAACTTCCCGCTGAAGTGCTTGGCGGTGGCTTGATTCCCGTCTTCTTTGGCAAACTTCATAACAGCGAGCTTGAGTTTTGCCGTATATATAATTACTGTAGCCCACTGCAAGACAACAGTAAAAACGCGAAGGACAGGTGGGGAAACCTAAACTTCCGAAATCAATCAAGCATGTGTTGCAGCGTGGACGCAGAGAACGAGGGGAACAGTTGGTGCAACAGGCCCAACAAGCCCTCGCACATCTCCGGTGCCGAAAGTTGTCCATACTGTGATGCAAGCATATATTCACACGGTGCTAGAGATGGAAAGATTAGTGGGGGACAAACACCTCAGCAGCGCACGGTATTATAGAGACCCTAATTTGTGGGAAGTCTTGGAAGAAGTGACTTCGCACTCGCAGCTCGTTTGACTGCCCTCTCCTGATTGGTGGGCCACGCGCCCCACGCTCCTGTCTAAAGAATCCTAAGCTCCACAGTCTTCTTCGAATGCGCACCTGCGAGCTGGCTTGGCCGGGTCGGGGTGCACAAAATATGGGAGTAAATATTTTTTTTCGTAAAGCTCACAAAATATTAGGGGTGCACAAATTATGCGAGTAAATACGGTAACTTTTATGGTTCTGGAGCCATTAATGGCCCATATTGCTCTATATTAACTATAGAATGCAAATAACTACCAAGAAAGTGTGTATGAGACATTTTAATGGACAAAAAAAATTTTAATGTGGGAATTCTTATAATCCTCAGCAAATACTAATTGCTTACTTTAGCTTTGTATAATTATACAGGTGATATCAGGTTTTAAAGGAAATACTTGCACCCTTCACATTTTAAGGAAAATGTGGGCAAAATTTCATCTCAGTCGAGCTGTCAGAAGTACAAAAAACCGGACTTCTAAATTCAAGAAGTTGCCCAATAAAGGATCTTGATAAAAACACATTTTAAAAGTATTACTGAAAGCTCATCTATGCAGAAAAGATGTGTGTTTAAGATGATATCTCCCATCATGAAAGCTTGGCAATCGTTATTTTGATCATGTAGGTTCAGTGAACCCCTCATGCGAAATGCGATGGCAAGCAGCCAGATGACAATTTCCAGGTGACTCTAGACAATGAGCTCTTATTAAATTTTAGTCACCACCTTGTGCTCCTTGAAAGCGATTTTACCCTACTTCAAGTTTAATTACAATTTTCAGTTTTTTTTTTGTCGTGAAAGTAGAGAAGTTGAACTTGTGGGAGCAAATAGTAAAACCGAAAAATATATAATTTTGAAAATAACTTTCGTTTTTTGACTTTCATCTCCTCGTAATAACTTTTTGAGCCGCTTATTTATACATGACTTCAGATCGACACAGTAGCCCATTCTGGTGTGTAGCTTTGCCAACTGCAGCAAATTTCATGCACCTCTGTTTTTAATGTGTGTTCTATTGTGTTTTGCACTGGCTGCTTTTTTTCGTTCCGACCTCAAATTCACTGTTGTTATCTCAGTCGTGTTTGTTGCATTTTGATAGAAGTGAAATGCTAGTGGCCTCAGTACTATGCAATCTCATTGCACAATAAAGAACACCAGACTGTTGAAATTTTCAGCGCCCTCCAATACGGCATGCCTCGTAATCATGTGGTTTTGGTGCATAACACCTTACATATTATTATATTTCTTGTTCTGTGGTCAACTGATGAAAGAGCTGCTTGAGCAAAAGAGCTATCATCCGCAGCTGCCGTTGTTATGGACTGACACTGGAAACAGCGTGATAAGGCTCATATACATACACACATACCTTACAAACTGAGGGAAATCATTCGCCTGATTCTTACCTCATCTTTATTTGCATATATATGTTATCATGTAGGGCTACAGTTGACTCAAAGAATGTACGTCTCCAAGATTCCGGCTCACGAGCAGGAGGCGCGATTTCCCGCGCACAGTGGGAGCGGGGCTCCACGTTACTCTATGGGACTGTAGAGCAAAACGATAATAACTCCTCTCTCTTTTTGATTTTCTCATTGCTTTCACGGTTTCAAGTAGCTACTGTATAAACCTTTCTTTTGCCTGAGTTACAGTATCGTGGTTATAATAGTGTGAATTCTCTAGCTTATTAAATGATAATGCACAGCGCCTATGGGCGCTTTCGGAAATATTGGCTGTTTTACTGCATTTGAATCGCTACCGTGGAGACGTGCTTGAAGATATTCAATTGCTTTCTGGGATTTAGGTACTGGCATATGTCTAGTTCATGATGGTATAGAACGTGTTGGAATCGCGTGGTAAAAAAAAGTTCCCTGGCCAGTTTTGTTCAGGGTGCGACAGCTGTCAAGCCCTCGTAGCTCCATCTAGCGGTGGGATGGTGTACTCTACGGTGCCAGGTAAAAGTTGAAATAGGGTGCGCGTTAAAAGAGAGGATTCCTGTGGAAGGCACTTATGACCCCGCGAAACAATATTTAGGGTTCATTGAGGTAAATATCTGTAGTATAGCACATCAATAGGATATTGGTAAAAACAACGAAGTGCACGTTTCCGAACATCCGGTGTATGTACCACATAGACCCCTCAATTTACAGCACATTCTCGAGTTTTACAGGTTTCATGGTAGTTTTAGTTATCTACGAATTAGTTAATTAGTGCTAATTAACCAATGCATCTCAGGTTAGACTTTGAAATCGGGAGTAATATTCACCGGGCGCGATATTACGGATGGTGATATCAACTCGCCGTCCGCGCCGCTTAAATGCAGCATACCTCAGGGATCCGTCCTCGGGCCTCTTTTCGGTTTATATCAATAATGCCACCCGTCATATTCCAGCAAATCTAAAGCTTTTCGCAGATGCCTGCGTGCTTTAAAGTAGTTAACGCTTCCAGTGACCAGGTTCTTTTAAATAAATTCTTTTTCTAAGATTCAAGACTGGTGCACAAAATGACTGATGACCTTTAACGCGAGATAAACTGTGGCGATTACCACAACCTGCAAAAAAGATCCATTAAAATTCTAATACAGCCTAGGCAATCGATTCTTGTCCTTTGTCTCACAGTATACGCACGTTGGTCGTGTCATCACATCTAAGTTAAGATGGAAAGAACATGTCTGTTATACTGAGAAAAAAGGCTTTGAAAATACAAGGCTATCTAAGATGGGCACATGCTGAGGCATCCGACAAACCTAAATGACTCCATGTGAAACGTACGTAGTACCAATACTATAATATTCATCGGCTGTCTGGGACCCGCACACGCAAGCTAACACAGATAAACTTGAATTAATACAGCGAAAAGCTGTAAAATTCATATTCAATACCTAAAAGTAACACATCTTCGTCAGTTCTTCTGGAAGGCACTAAACTAGAAACCCTGGAGTGGAAATATTATCGCAAAACAACGAAGCTGTTCTATCTCATATATAATAATAAGCTGGCAATAAAAAAAACTAATTATATTGAACCAATTTTGCACCACGAAACGCGTGGCTTTAATCTTGACAGAGTGACTGAGCCCCTATATACAGGTACCTTTTTTTGTTTCCCCAACAAGCAGAGAGTGGAACGATTTGCCACCATAGATTCTTGAAAGTGTCGATCTCAACTAGTTTCTTCGTGTGTTAGCTGTTTTACATGGCTCATAACTACACCTTCATATATATTGCAGTGCGCTTCATTTTATACCCATCTTGATCAGACTGATTGCTTGAGGTTCAATGGCTCGCTTCTGCACGATTTTTCAATGCTTCGATTCTGTAATGTCTCGCTTCTTAATATTGCCGACTTTATTTTTGCTACAGTTGGTATATGAGTTCTTTTTACCCAAACAACATAACCTAGTGGACACTGTTTTTTATAGTTTTTGTTTTGTTCAGTGTTTCTTGGGATTGTGGACCATATTTCATGTCGCTTCTCTTTTTTATGCGTTTTGAAGCATTGCGCTTTTGTTCAACACTCTTTATACTGCTGTACCTCCTACACAATGTTGCGTCCACTGCGCCACACACCCCTGCCCAAGGTCCGGCACCAGATTGGCAGTTTTTCTTTAAAATCTTTAAATAAATATTTAAATAAATAAATCCACTTCCTCTTTTTTATTGTGCAACTCTCCAATTTAAGAATAGAAATTAAAAATGTTAAGGGAAGTAAGTTAAATGAAAGAGATATAATGCTGAAAGGCGGGGAGG